CAGTGCACCAGCCAAGTCTTCCTGGGCATCTGCCTCATCTGTGTGGCATACTCTGCAGCACAGCAGGGAGATAGCTGGCTATCTGAACCATGTGGGAGGTGAGCTCATGGTTGGCTGTTCTTCCTGCTATATGGTATTCTGGCCTTGACCTTCCTGTCTGGCTATTACGTGACCCTGGCTGCCAAGATCCTGGCAGTGCTGCTGTCCCCAGTCATACTGCTCATCGATGGCAATGACACCCACTGGCACCACACAAGGTGGGTGGGGTTCTGGAACCAGATGAAGCTCCTTGGTGGGAATATGGGCATCTTCAGGGCCACTGTCATCCTGGCCACTGATGGCTGAGTCTTGGAGTGCAGTGTGCCCTGCCTTCTGCCTTCCTGGCCCAGCTGCTGCTGATTTTGCTTCTTTGTCTGTTCAGTCCTTTGTGTTTTTGTTTTTGTTTTTCATTTTGTGTTTTTCTTTTCCTAGTATGAGGCAGGTCTTGGCCCCAGGTTCATGGGTTGGAACTTGTGGGGTGGGGGCCCTGACACTGATCCCTCATGGGCTTGTTCCTGTTTGTGGAAACTGAGGCCTGCAGGTCCACAAATGGGGATGGCGGAAGGGAGACAAATCCAGTTGTGGGTTTAGATCTGCAGAAGCTCCCAAAGCCTCATGTGTTTGAAAGGAGATGGCTTATGAGGCTTACAGCTGACTTGCTGTTGGAGGTGGAGTCAAGAGGGAAGGGGAGGTGGTCACTGGGTGTGAAGCCTGGGAGTTTCATCTCCCTTCCTGGCTCCTATTCATCTCTCTCTTGGCGGTCATGAGATGAGCAGCTTTTCCTCCACCAGGCTCCTCTACCAATCCATCCTGCTTTGAAGCCAGCTTATAGACTGAAATGGTGCCAAAATGAACCTCACTTAAGTTGTGGGTATCTAGATTTTTGTCCCAGCAACAAGGAAAACAAGACAGGTTTTGGTACCAGGAATGGGATCCTTGCTACACTGCTACCTAAATACGTGTTTTAGAAGCCTTTGCAACTAGTTTGCTGGAGGAGTCTGGAAAAGTTTGGATATGCTGGCTGGAGAAGCAGCCCTAGAATCCTGAGCTTGATGGGAGGCTCTGGTTGGAACTCAGAAAATCAGAATGCTAGCCAGGTGTGGTGGAGCACACCTGTAATCTCAGCACTCACGGGGCTGAGGTAGGAGGATCATTGCCCATTCATTCAAGGCCAGCCTGAACTACCCAGTGAGCCCATCTCAAACAAACAAACTCCAAACAAATAAACACTTTATCAGAATGTTAATAAAAAGGCAGACCATAAAGACCAGGCTCAATTAGGTCCTGTTTAATCAAGGATGGAGTCATCAGCATGGACTCCAGGCCATGTTTGTTGCTCTGGCAGAAAGCTTGTGTACATTTTGCTCCTGTTCTGACGACTGCAGAAGCAGCCTAATCTGGCAGAGGAAGTCTCAAGGCAACCAAGTATTTCAGTGGCATTGGGTACTGTTGGTGCCTTTCAGCAGTTCTGTATTAAGAATCAAGGGAAAATGGCACAGCTGAGTGATTTTTAAAAGTTTTGGTTTTCACCAGAAAAGCACTTCATGTAAAGTTGGAGCAGAGGAAAACCTGCTTGCTGAAAAGATAGGCATTAAAAAGAGGCCAAGTATTCCTCTCCTTCCTCTCCTTCTCCTTCTCCTTCTCCTTCTTTGGTACTGGTGATCGAAATCAGGACTTTGTGCTTAGAAGGGCAGGGGTGGTGCCACTGAGCTAAATTCCTGGCCCTGCACTGATTCTACACTGATTCTTTTGATGTCTGAAGACTTAAACTCTAAACCTACCAACCACAGAACTTTCGAAAATTGAAATTTTCCTTGAGGGAAACTGTGAAATGATGATGTTTATACATAATGGCTTCTAATTCATTTTCATTGAAAAGCTGTCAGTTCTGCAAAAAATCAGAACCCTGAACTTATGCAAATTATCTGTTTCAGAATGTGAAATACTTTCACAAATAAAATGGTAAAAATCTCAGAGAAAACAGAAAAAAAAAAAAAAAAGAGGCCAAATATTTTGGATCAGGACAGTGGGGAAAATAGCTTGATTACACATCAGGAATCGGCAAGACACCCGCCCCCCCCACCCCCCACCTGTCTGCAGGCTCAGGGATGCAAGGCTGTAAGATTCAGAAGAGAGCCCCATAGCAAGACCCACCTAGGGAATTAGTTCCCAGGGATTCAGCTTACCATCCTCAGCCATCCAGGCACTCAGAGGCCTCTGCAGCTGCCATTCAAGGGGGCCTGGCTACTGCTCAAGCAGGAAGCAGGCCTCAGCACCATCCACACATTGGTTTTGCAAAATGCAAAAGTTGTAGGGTCAGGAAGGCTTCCACGCAGAATTCAGAAGGCCTGGGAGGCCAGGCCATGTGTCCCTGAGTAGCTCAGGATATGAATGCAAAGCCAAAATTGTAGTGGAGACCACAGGATGCTAGAAAAGCCAGGAACCTGGATTATCTGAGGAAAGCTGTAAGGAGTAAGCACAGTTGACCTGAGAGTGTTACGACCATCACTGGCAGTGCCCTATGGGTGGGGCTGCCCAAGCCCTTTGGAGTCCACATCTTGCCACAACATGCCTCTGATATTGGGCACTGAGCTACAAGATTTAATGCTTGCCCTGCTGGACTTCAGTCTTGCTTTGATCCCTTTGGTCCTGTCCCTTTTGGAGTGGGAATGTTTACCTGGTGTGTTTGTATGGGAAATGTTGAACTTGTTTTGCTTTTTCTAGGGGTTCACAGCTAAGAGTTTGTCTTGAGTCTCATAGGAGACCTTCAACTTGGACTTTTCAGCAACATGAGAACTAGCAGGACTTTGGCAAGTCTTAGAGATGGACTGAATGCATTTTGCATAATGAGATACAAATGAGTCTTTTGGGAGGTGGGGTGGAATGTTAGTGGCTGCATCTGAATGTCTCCCCATGCCACATGGGTTGGAAGGTGATTGGATTACAGGGGCTGACAGCTGACCCTCTGTGAGGAGGAGGGGTCTGGTCAGAAGAGGTGGTCACCAGGATGTGACCTAGAAGGGTTCACCTGCCTCTCTTCCGGGTCTTCTGCCAGGCCTCTGTGCCAAGCCATGGAGCTAGCTGACCAGGGACTGAAATGTGACCAAGACAAACTCCTTTTGTCCCAACAAGAAGAAAGTGAATAAGATAGACCCTGGAGTAAATGTGAAAAACTCCTTAAAAAAGAAAGAGAAAAGCAAGCCATTCACCTCTCCTAAATGAACAAAGATCATTTTAGATCACTGATGCCCCACACTATGGGTCCACCAGCATTTTCTCAGTACAGCATTTTCTCAGTGGCCTTTTTTTTTTTTGAGACAGTATGGGCTTTCTATGTATCCCATGCTGACCTTAGATACTAGTCTCTCCTGCCTCCACCTCCTGAGAGCTGGCAATATGAGCTGGCCTTTCTTACTGGCAAGAGGTATTCAATATGCATGCCATTTTGTTCTATCTAGCACATCTCTGTAGGGTTTAATCTTACATAAACAGATATTAAAATTATACATAATCATACAAAGATATATATAAAATAATGGACACTGCAGCATTGAAGTGGGAATAACCAAATAGCATAAATCAAGGTGTAATCACATAAATTGCAGTACATTCATGAAATGAAATGCCAGAATGAAAGAGTTAAGTAGGTAGTCCTGGCATGAAGGAGTGACCATGATGTATATTGAAATGAGAAAAGAAATGCATAAAGTGTGTTCCTCATTTTAAACCATTTTCATGCACACAGAAATGTACCCAGTGCACATGGCTGCTGGATGTGCCAGGGCTCCTTCAGAGATGAAGGTTACTTGACACATTTCTGTACTGATGGAAATTTTGTACTAATGTGTATTTTATAATTGGGAAAAATAAGTGAACAAGGAACATAAAGCCTTATTTAGTAGATATAACCCAAAATGTTGCAACTGTTCCATCTATGGTAAATGAGAGAATGAAAAAAGACAAGGAAATGCTTGAAGAGATAAAGTGAAAAAGGAGAAAAGCAATCAGAAAGGAAGGGGCTGGGGAAAAACAGGCAAGAGAAAAACAGCAGAGGTGGGTGGAGTGGGGCACTCAGGCTGACTCTCCAAGTGCCACCTTCAGTGAGTCACATTTCACAGGCCACTGGGGTTTCATTTATCTTGGTAGTAGAGGGTATCTACCTTTTTCCCTATAGTCCTAGGATTCAGGGCTCCCCCCTAAAATAAAGTGTTTGGCAAGACAATCATGAGCCACATCAAGGACTCAATCAGCTTCACTGTGTGGACTTTGTTTCCCCAAAGCCATCTGTCTTTAAGTAGGTCTTACTATTCATCCACCAAAACACCCAAAGCCTGTTTTCTTTTTTAACTGAAATACTAGGTTGCTCTGTACTGATACTTCTAGATCACATTTGTAAAGAAAATTTACTTCATAGTTCGCATTTTTCAATTCCATATGGAAAGTATGGGAATCAGATCTGACTGTGAGATAATGTATGGTTAAAAACAAAGTCAAGTGCATTTAAAGGAAGGTGTTCTGGGGCCCTGCAGTGGCACAGGTTAGGTGAGCTCTGGAGAAATTCACATTGTGCTGGGCACTTGAGGAAAAATGCAGGTGTGTCTGGACCACTGGGAAGGCGACCTGGCCCTTCTCTTTGGCTACCAGATTGGCCAAAACAATCCCAAATAGTCATTAGGGGGAAGGATTATACACATGTGGCAGTGGTGGGGCAGCACAGCAAGACCTGGTGGGCACAGGCAGCACAGGGCCAGATTCATCTTGAGCTGACTCATGGGCCATTCTGCAACCTATGAAGGTTTCTTAAAAGAAAACTAAAACATGCTGAGCATAGTGGCACACACTTATAGTTCCAGTACTCAAATTAGACAAGAGGATGAGGATTGCCAGAGTTCAAGGCCAGTCTGAACTACATGGCAAGACCATCTAAGACAAACAAAGAAACCAAAAAACCCAAAATGTGTTTACTCAAACAAGATGGGCCTAAGGCCTTTCAGAGCCTCCCTGCTGCTGGTCACCAAGAAGAGGAAAGAGCACAGAGTCCAGTTGGAAAGCTCATTTTCCCAATCTTTATTAAAGCTAGATCCTTCTGTTGATGGGTGTAGGATGGGGCAGAAGCAGCTGAGGCTCAGGGCAACAGGAATGAATGCTGCCAGCCATGGGCCATAGAAGGCAATGCCAAGATGCCTAAAGCCACCCAGCTGTCCCAGCCTTTGGCCCTTTTGGAAGCTCACATCCCAGAAGACACTGGAAGGGGAAAGACACCTGAGACAGAGAGGCCATAGCCCAGTACTGCTGATGCCTCCCTGGGATCCCCTGCCTTCCTCACCAGCCCAGCCTGCAACCTCACTCAGCCTGGCTAGTTCTCACCACCACCACCCAGGCCCTCCTCCCACCCACCAACTACCTCACCTCCTACCCCACCCAGCCCCTAGCAGCCTGGCTGCTGGCCTTCAGCCCCCAAGGCCATGTCTACACTAAAACGGAAGGAACTAGGTCTAAAAAGGAATGCAGGTGCTTCAAAAGTCTCAGTTCTCCAGCCCCAGCCCCACTCATATTGGCCCAAAAAGCAAGAAGGGAGAGGACCATTGAGCCATGCCGTGGCTCAATGATGGTGAACCTTTTAGAGCTTCCAATGATATAAACATCCCGCTGTGGCATGCATGCCATAGGTTTGCCACCACTGCCCTCTGGAGGTGGGATGTCCACCCACAGGGGTCTTGCATAGTTGGGTGTTAGGAGCTCGGGTCCCCACCCCTCCAGACGTGGACAGCCTTCGTGGGAACTGCCAGGTCTTCAGTGCCACCAATGGCCCACGTAAATGGGAATCTAGACAGAAACACGACTTGCTTCTACTGTAGAATAATGGCAGATGCAGAGTCAAAAGGACCAGTGGAGGTTTTCAGGCCCTAATCATGGGATGAGGGGAAAGACCTGTGATCCAACCTCAGTGCTTTATGCTACTGGAGCAGTGAACATGGGAGGGTAGGGCTCTCTCTGCCCACTTGCTCCTGGAGAGAGAGGCGGCAGCCCAGGGTACTAGAAGTTAAGGCCCAGGTCTGTGCAGCTGTGCATAAGGCACCCCAAGGGTTACCACCTCCAGCTGCTGGTGGTGGTGATGGTGGTAAAGGACTTAATGAAAAAGCTGGGAGCAAACTGATCCTGCTAGATAGACCTGGCCCATCTCAGTGCTGATGATGAGAGGCAGCATGGAGAGCTCAACTCAGGAGAATAAGGCTTTACACGCCTTGGGGACCCTGCTAATACCACAACCCATAAACCCAGGCCACAGATTTGGTTTTCAGCTTTGTCTCTTCCCCTCCCCACATTCTTCAGGCCTTACAAGAGATGGAAATAAATATCCACTGTCCTCAATCAAAATAAAAGCTTTCCCATTCGCATCCCCATCTCCTGGGATAGGGAGGAAACCCTGCCCTTTGGAAACCTATATGCCTTCCCTTTGCCATGAGTAGTAGTTCTTATAACTTCCTGGGCACGCTCCAAATCCAGCAGATCCCTTAATCTCCTGCTGATGAAATGAGAACTCATCAGGCAGGCCCATGGGTGACCCGGAGATCAACGCTGACCCACCAGAGCAGCCCAGGCTGCTCGACCCTCGGCCACCCCACCCTCCCCTCGCTGTGAACTCTTACATCGCTTGTTATCTGGGCCACCCAAATTGAAATTCAAATAAAATAAATACCTCTCCCGCCATCCCAACCGTTTTGCTTCGCAGCTTGGACCCAGGGATGTCACAGTCTCGGTGGGTCAGGGTGGCCGCTCCTGCACGATGTTCCCCACACGGCCTAGAGAGCTGGGCCCCTGCGGGAGGGGACCCCGAGGCCGGAGGGAAGGGGGCAGTGCGCCGGGGAAGGCACCCAGCCCAGGACAGGGACCCTCAATGCCCGGAGGCTAGAGGAGCACGGTGGGGGGCCAGGGGCCTAACTCTCCTCGTAAGCAGCCGAGGGTCCCGCAAACGCGGCCTCAGAGCCGAAGCTCGTCCCGCCCGCGAACTCCAGCAGCGTGCTCCCGAACTGCCCCGGGGCGGA